TGGTGGAAAACGCAGCCTCTGAAGTGAGATTACATTTTCCAGTACAAAGAGCCACACATGCCTCATCCCCTTAAGAGCTCTCAGACAGGGATATGGACTTTTAGTGGTATGGTAGCTTTTTCAGAAAGGTAAAAAGTCACTTTGGAGAGTTGAAAGGGGAGAGGGAGGAAAAGGAGATCATAAGAACTTTATAGCATGGTAAATGTGCTTATAAAGTCAGTATAAAATAAGAGGAGCCTACTTTTCCATTCTCTGGTAGAAATAGTAGATATGGGTATGCTCAAACATGACCTGTCTATAAAATTAGGCACATGTAGCTCTGAAGGGAAAGTGAGTCCTTGAAAATAAAGGTTTATTTTTTTAGCCTGTATCAGTTTGAAACTCTCTCTCTTTCCCCCCCCCCCCTCCGTCACATTTTTAACTTTCTGGTCCTTCCAACTCTTATTTTGGAAATAGTCCCCTTTGGTTCCCAATACCATGCACACTCAATTTCTTCTTGTTTCACTTTATTTCTTGCATTGTTTGGAAAAGGAAGTATTTGTTTTAGATTACTTCCTGAAATGGTGGCTACTGCATAGATTCCAGCTGCAGGATGTGAAAAGCTTCCTTCAGAAGGAAAGGCTCTACATTTTAGCAGCAGAGACTCTAATGAAACAATGATTGTCCTCCGCGATGGCTTTTGGTTTCTTCTGACCTGCTTAAGAACCCCCCTTTTTTTTCTGCTTGAAGACCTCAAGCTGACTTCCTTAAACAGTCCGGAACCATTGAGCTTGGGAGTTCAGCTCTGCAGTGGTCCCAAAACATGTAGAAGGTTCCATTATGCAAGTTCACGTGAATTAGTATGGAATATTTTTGATTGCTTTTGTGGACCTAAATCTGTTCATTTCCTTTGGATAAAAAGAGACTTTAAAAAAAAAAAACGACCTTCACTAGTATTGTGTCAGTGAGATGAATCCCATCTCCCTACAGCTTAATTTTGGAAGATCAGAAAATCCTTTTTATAACTTCCTCTGTCATGTCTAGATTAGTTTATGAACTTGATTAATCAGTTTGGAGCAATGCCATGTGTTTTCTATATGTTGGAGGAGTTATACAATTGCAGATCTGTAGGATTCCTTAAGATAGGGACGCATAAAGTTGTTATAGCCGCGATGACGCAATGATTAGAATGCAGTACTGCAGGTTAATTCTGCTGCCTGCCGACTGCCAGCAGTTCGGCAGTTCAAGTCTCACCGGCTCAAGGTTGACTCAGCCTTCCATCCTCTCGAGGTCGGTAAAATGAGGACCCAGATAGTTGGGGGCCATATGCCGATTCTAAAAACGTTTAGAGAGGACTGTGAAGCACTATAAAGCGGTACTGTATATAAGGCTATTGCTATTTACCTTGGCCTGGTTCCCATAAACTATGCAATGTGGTTTATTTGGTTAGGGCTTAGCCATCATTTAGTATTGATTTTGGTTGTGGTTGATTGGTTGTGAGAAACCAATCAATTCTAGCATGGTCCACAGATTGTAGTTATAAAGACATGGTTTAAGCATTAGAAAAAACAAAGACCGTGAAACCCAACGTCTGAATTGGATCATTGTCTATTTTGATTGGCAGTAGTTCTCCATGATTTCACACAGGGATGGATAGTGGATTTTAAGATTTGGACCTTCTGCATGTAAAGAATGTGCTATTCCTCTGAACTAGCATTCTCCTTTTAATTATAGTTTATACTAAGTAAAACATTTACCAGCTCTTCTGCTCCATTCAACAACTACTTGAGTCACTTGTGACACAGTAATTATCCATTTATATCTCTATGTTCCATCTCAATCAAACTTCTGAGTCACGTTTTACTAGAGAAAGCAGCAAGTATGCCTGTAATCTTTGGACTCCATTTCTTCCAAAAAAAATTTAAAAAAGTTCTACTTTAGTTTTGCTCAACCAGACAGTAAGGTAGTACAAGTTAAAGTTTTGCATTTGGGCATGGAACGTCCAGGTTCAAGTCCCCACTTGAATATAGAGTTTTGTTCAGTAATTTTGACTCAGTTACTGTCTCTTAGTTTAGCTTAAATGAGAACATAACAAAAAGAGACGCTTTCCCCTTCTTTAAGAAAGGCATGATATAAAAGCAATAAATAAACTCCCAGAATTTCAAATCAGTATATTTGATGGTACTTTAATCTCTTCATTTATCCCCTCCAAAAATAATTTTTGAATACTGATATGATAATCAACCTGATAACCTCTGCTTGTTTCCCAATTTTTTTTTTTTTTTTGCCATCAGCTACCCTGGCTGGAACAGAAGAGGTCCAAAAACATCTGGAAGGCATTAGGTAGTGTTAGACTGTCTGTTTTAAACAGTTTCTTTAAAATGGAAGCTGAGTCCTTTATGATCACACCGATTCCTGCCTAGAGCTTTCAGCTCACTGCATGCAGACACACTGCTTGAAATTCATAATACAAAATCAACGCTAACTTTAAAAAAGCCATAAATAAACTCAAAGCACTAAACTCAAGTTCGCCTCATTTTGTTTTAGGGAAGCAGGTACTTGGTCTCCTAGCAGAATAGCTCTGGTGTGAATGCCAAGACGAATAGGGTAATGTCTGACTTTTGTGTTCCAGACCAGACATAACCAGATCTCTATTTAATCGTTGCTTTACCAGTTCTGAATGGATGGGATGCTGCATAGTGCCAAATGACACACTCTGTCTCCCTTGCTCTGTTTTTTAATAGAAGCTAAATGGGTTTCTGGAACAAAATTTGAAGTTTCTTCCCTCCCCTCCCTTCATGCATCATTTTTGTTTATGGAAAAGCTTTTTTTGATTTGCTCATGTTTTCGTTCGGCTGGCTGGGGTGTTTTTTTTTGTTTGTTTGTTTCTTTGGTTTGCATTGGGATGTGTTAAAACGTCTTGTAAGTTTATTTTACTGGTCAGTTTTGTTAAAAAGTAAATATTGCCTAAGTGAAAGATTAAAGGGTAATGCTTTATAACTAAAGGAAGGGCAAAACTTTTGTGAACGAAGAATGAGATAGCAGCATGTTCTGCCATAATTGTGAGGATACAGGCATCAGAAGTAACCAATTATAATGGGCCCATAGTATTTGGTAAAGATGTATGAAGCTTGGGGGAAAGTAAAAAAGATCAGGAGAAAAAAGTAGTAATGAACAGGGAAAAAAAAGAAAGAAACCTGATTCAAACCGCAAACGAGATAACAAGGATGAGCCTCATTTTTCTGCATTCTCTCCCATGATACAGGCAGTCTTTGACTTGCAACCAGTCATTTAATGATCAATTACAGCTAACAATGGCTGAGAAAGGGTGTTATGTGGCTCATAAAAGCATTTCCACCCATTGTAAAATGTCATACCACCACCACTCCATGGTCAAGTGATCACATTTCAGGTGCCTGCAGGCCTGTGGTTGCAAAGTGCCCTGTGATCATGTGATCACCATTTGCAATCTTCTCTACCGACTTCCCCAGAAAGCCACTAGTGAAGATTGCAAGCAGAGGGGACCACGGGGAGCTTCCCTACCCAGCCATCTGCAGGAAATCCTCAGCTGGTTCCAGGGCCAACCAGTGAGCATGAAGCTGCCCCAGTCCTGGATACCTTAGACCTGCTCCCCACTCAGCCCCTCAGCTAGTTCCAGGGTTTACTGGCACTTAACTTTCTGTTTTTCTGCAGCTTGACACAGCCATTGTGAACACGGCCTTTCTCCAGAGGTCTCTGTGTGCCATTCTGAAGCAGGTGCTATTTTTGTGATCCTTAAAGCCCCCCTTAAAGGGAGCCCCCTAAAGTCTTCTGTACAGGGGAGTAGGTCTGCTGTGTATTTGATAGCTGTGCGGCAGGGGAGAGAATATTGATATGGAATGAGGAATGCATATCTTCTAAAATGAAAGGATTAGGAGCAGGAGCAAAGGCTGCCTTTGCCTGTAGTTACTTATGTGCAAATATGGCAGATATTTGTAGGACTTACTTATACGTCAACATCTTATTCATAGTCTATTCAACCTAGCTTTGCATAAACTGATCCAAAGGACTGTGTTAGCACAATACATTAGGCAATAATGTGATTGGCCTGTTTGTTATTCAGATTATTTTGCCATCACAGCCAATATAGAGTCACTTTTGGTGAAGTGAGTGGCTATATAAGCTTGATAAATAAATAAAACAAATTTATGGAGTCGCATAATATGCAGAATTAACAAATCCTTTACTTATGACCATTCCTTTAATGATGGTTCAAAGTTATGACTGCTTAGAAAGAGCGACTGACTTATGGCCTGTATTCGCATTTAAAACCATCTCCCCTCCCTTCTCTCTTTCACACACACTGTAATCACATGATTGCAATTAGGGTGTTTGGCAACCAGCTTGCATTTACAAGTGGTTGCAGGATCTTGTGGTCATGTGATTGCAGTTGGCCATTTCCAGCAAAAAATACTCATTGGGAGAGCTGGATTTGCCTAACAACTGTAGTGATATGCTTAGTGACTGCTGTAAACATTGTCATACAACTGGGTCCAACTCAATGTATAACCACAATGACTTAACAACAGAAATTCTGGTCCCAGTTGCGGTCCTGAGTCAAGGACCACCTATATGTGCATGTCTATTTGGTTTTGAGAGTTTTAATTATTGTTCATGGAAAAGAATTCCTTGAAGCAAACGAAGTACTACTTCTTTTAATTAATGCTTATTTTATACTCAACAGGTGTAATCAAAACTGAAAGGTTCTCTATTATAGCATGTAAGCCTGAAAAGTTGGGAAACAAGTTACTTACCCCTCTTAAGAATGCAATATATCCTGTGATGCCCTTCTGTTTCATTTTCTTCATTCTTTTCTCGCAATAATGTTATATTTATTCCATATCCCTGACAAACTCCAGCTTTGTTGAAATAAATTTTACGTTTTTTTTAATGAGAAAATAAAGGGGGAGGGGGAGTATTTAAAAGGGATTTGGGGGAAAAGCACCAAAAGGAAAAAAAAAATGACCCTATTATTTCTTCAGTAGAAGACGCAATCAAAGTGAAACCTCCCAATTCCCCGCGTGCGGAGTGGGTGCTGCAGCCTAGACCTACACCGCCCAAAGGGAGAGACCCGAATGCTTGGAACCGGCTGAAGGACCAGTCTTTTGGTAGGGAACAAAAAAAAAACAACATTTTTCACAGATGGACAGTTGTCGTCAAAAGAGTGGGATGGCTGCCAGTTGTATTCTCTTTTTGTCTCTCATCTCTCACTTGTTTGGGGGTAGATGACCCATGAGCCACAAGGCTGCCTTTCTGTGTTGCTCTTTTGGTGAGGGGGGCTTTTACTTTGCTGCATGCGGGGGGGGGGCAGGGGGAAGGGGGGAGAGGCGGATATTTGAGAATGCCATTGTTTGTTACTCCTCCAAATTGCTTGGTGGTTTTACAGGGGATGGCCCCGATTCTTCTATCTTTACCCCTTTTTTGTGTGTGAGCTGGTTATTTTAGGATTTTACTCAGCGTCAGCCTCCTAGTGAATGTGTGGTTTAAAATAACAGCACTGATTTAGGATAGGGGCCATATTGAACTGCAAAGACAATTAAAAGTTTAAAACAACAACAACAACAAAAACCCAAAACCAAACACAGGCTTAACTCCCAGGTATCTGGTTGTTTCCCTGACTCACAGAAACGATCCCATGGAATAAGCCTTAAAAGGCGCTACAAGATGTGGGTTGGTTGTCAAAATGTGGGGTGATCACTGGAGTGTCACAAAGAAAGCACTCTGATGCCCTGTTTAAAAATATGTTAGATTTAAGACCATCATACTCTAGAACAGGGGTAGGCAACCTCGGCTCTTTTATGACTCGTGGACTTCAACTCCCGGAATTCCTGAGCCAGCATGGCTCATCTTGGAAACCTCTCCCTTTCCCCTCAGCATGGCTGGCTCAGGAATTCTGAGAGTTGAAGTCCACGAGTCATAAAAGAGTCCAGGTTGCCTAACCCTGCTCTAGAACATCTCTGAATGGGCTTGTATTCTAAAAGAATAATAAAAAAAGCAGTAATAGAAGAAACTAGGAATGCCGAAACAAAACAAATTATATAAAGGATACGCTTGGATCAGCTGAAGAGCAATCCTATTGCAGAGCTTGGGAGAAGAGCTGGGGATTAAAGACTTCTGGGAAACACTATTAGGGCGAAAGCCACCTGGATTTTGGAAAGCGGAGAGATGCTAAGTCAGAAGTCAGTGCTACTCATCTGGAGTTCTGCACCCCGGATTGGATCGGCCTAGTCTGAGACTGATGCCCTGCTTGAATATGCAACTTCATTGGCCGAGAGCTTCCCCCTCCTGCCCTTGAGATGGAGCATTTAGTTGTTGTTTTTCCCTCTGCTCTGGATGCAAGGCATCTCTGTGTGAGAGCTTTATTAATCAGAAATGCCTACCATTTTCTCGCTTTGCTGCTGCCAAAAGCTGGCAGGATTGGAGCACAGTGGCCGAGCTTTTAAGAAGGCTGAGTCTGGGTTTATTTAGTTTGTAAATGAAAGAGTTGTTCTGAGTCCTAGGGCTTTTTTTTCCAGTCTCTCTGCACTGGTTTTTGAATAGCAGAGCCGAAAATTGAGCAGAGCCAACATTTACAAACGTTCTCGGGTATTTTGCATCCCTTAAAAAGAAAAGGATTTTATTTTTGGCTTCGGCCGCATTGATTTTTTAATAAATGGTTCCCCTGCTTTCATTTACAATCTTTTTCTAATTTCAGTTGTGGTTGTTGGTCTATAATATTATTATATGTAATGTTTCCCTCTATAATGTGAAATGATTTTTTGCAGGTGCCAATGTCCAACTTGATCTCAGATTGCATCTGAATGTTCTCTTTTTCTTAATTTATAGTAATCCAATCTTCCCTAGCTTGATATTTTCCAGATGTACTGGAATAAGAACTCCCAAAATTCTTAGCCAGCCCAAAGCCATGCTCTCTGCGAACTGTGGGAGTTGTAGTCTCAGCAGCTTGAAGGTTGAAGAAGGTTGATGGGAAATGTAACAGCCTGGCCTTATGTTAAGTAACAGTTGAAATTTAGTTTCTTTTAAAACAACATAATACCGCTGTATTCTATGAAGATTTGACCTTATTTCAAAACTCTTGTCACTTCAGTTATTGGGAATAATCTTTATTTTACTCAACAGCTTCAGATACGTTTCATACATTGCTAATAAAGTGGCTGGGCTAAATGAGATTGCAGCATTAGAGGAGTACCCTGAATGGAATGGGATAGCTCCATAGACCTGCTAATTTCTCTCCTCAATTTTGCTAAGGTAGCTAATTCTCTTATCTTTATAAAGGAAGAGTAATCCCCTGAATCCAGAGTCTTTTCATCATTATATTTTTGAGAGTGTAGAAGTATTGTTATGCACTTGTTGCAATTCCCTTTGGGCAAGACTTGTAATCAACTCTTTCAGTCAGAGGCATTGGGAAAAGTCTTTGATGCTCCTTTGCTTGGTTGGGATTGTTGTTTTGTACAAATCTGCTACTAATTGGTAAATTGTGGGCCTGTTCAGCAAACCATTGTTATAAATGAATGGTGTAAACTGAATGGTGTCAAAGTAACAGTCTCTTGCTTTTTGTTTTCAACTTGGGGGAAAGAATTATCCATCCAATAAGACTAAGCTGCATATTCTAAAACCTTTTAGTTTAATTTTTATGTAAAACATTGCATACAAAAAAATGTAGATTTGGTGTGTTTTTTCTCCTCTACTTATCCTACATGTATTAATTATCTATTTTTGTGCAGAGCAGAAAATCTGCAGTAAAAATGTTGTTTTGGTGTGAGGCCATATATGAAGACTAAACATTAAGATTTTCTCCTCTATTTCCCTGAGGAACAATCTATTCCTTACTTGTCCATCCGGAAAGCTGTGGAATGGGCAGTTCACATATCCCTTAACCTCGTTTTGCTTTAGATCCGGGGCCCCTGAGCATGGCCTATCCTTAAGACTGCTGTGGGTTTCCAGAGCAATGCACTCTGATTTGCCTTAAGCTGCATAGAGCTATGCAGACTCTATTGACTTCTACTACTGTAGATTGTTCTTGAGCATCACATCTGGTGTGAGCTCAAAATGTATATCCCTAAGCCAGTGCCCATCTTCTTCATGCTTGTAATCATCATTTCCAAGATTACTAAGTGAAGCCCGCAAAACCGTTCTTTTGCTGATTTGCCTTTTGCAGTCCAATCCCCTCCTCTCCCTTTGCACAACTGAGTCGGAGCCAAGAGATCCACTTAATTTTATTGAGAAGGTTGGATAGTTGATGAGACAAAATCTGACTTAACAATGGCAACAAATCCCAGCATTATGGAGCAGGCCTGGGACACGTAATCATTTCTCCTTCCTTTCCGTTGTGGGATTTTGCAGTTTGATGGCAACCTGATCTTTTGGGTCTTGCTAGTCCATTTACACAGGTCTTTTGGCCTCCTAGTTTTATACTAGGCTCAAACCCTGGCATTCGAATTGCCTCAATTCTGCTTCATCTGCTTCATAAGAATGAGTCTCTCACTGGTTATTCATGGATAAAGGAAGACTGAAAGGGATGCGGCTATGAAGCTTAGCATGTAGCAAGTTCAAGGATGACTATGAGAGACTGAAGGTTTTTTTTTTTTAAATTTGTTGACTTCCAATTGAATAGGAGATTTGTTGTCAGACTTCCTTTTATATTATGGAAGTGTTAGAATTCTGCAGATACTGCCTATTGGGTCTCTGTCTAGTTTACGTGAGCTAAGCCATGGTTTGTTTGGTGGTGATTTATCACAGCTGGTTCATTATTCCCACTACGCCATAGCTTAAAACCTACAGTGGCTGATTTCATGTATTACACTAAACTAAAGATGAAGAAACTGTAGCACGACTTAATATGTTGTGTGAATGACTTTCCTAGTTCTCTTTCTCTCCCCCTCTCTCTCCCCCCCTTTTTTTATTGTGAAGACTGATAAAGCACTCCAGCCTGATGTGCTGGGCTACAGCTCACATTAATTCCCAGTCAGCATGTGCACAATGACCATGGTTCCTGGGAATTAGGGGTGTGGTATTTTGAAGCATCTGGAAGGCGTTATGTTGGGAAGACTGGAGTAAAGGAGTCAGGAGGAGTTTCTGTTGCACTGACTCCCTTCCCTTGAGATGTAGCTTGCACAGAGACCAGCTTTCCTGCCCAACTCTGCTCTGTCCTCCACTACTCTTTTCATTATGATTGCTTTGGCAGGATTTATTATTACTGCTTTAAGCAGTTTATATTGTGGTTGTGCCTAGAGATCTCAGTCCAAGATGTGTTGGGAACAGTGGTGGGATTCAAATATGTGAATAACTGGTTCTCTGTGTGGATGCCGCTTCCGGAAGTCCATTCTGGGCTCGGCAACAAAAAATTAGCTACCGGTTCTGCCGAAGTGGTGCGAACTGGCTGAATCCCACCACTGGTTGGGAATCATATCAACATCAGATAAATTATAGCCTGTTGCCACCAGCTGAACAGCTTCTGGAAATTACAGTGGCATTCTTTTGGTATAAGAGATAATTTCTTTCCTCACTCACCTTTTCTCTCTTCTCCTCAGTAGAATAAATCTAGATTAGTCTTTGTGTTCGGTTGCATATTTTATAGCGCAGTCTATTTTTTTCCATGCGATCAGTTTGAGCTTTCTGCAAGATATTTGCTCTTGTTGGTTGCCCCAGAGCCAGGCCTAATGAAATTCCTAATACTTCTGGCATATTTTATCCCTTCTTTAAAAAAAAACACAAAAAACATTGAAGGAGCTCATCAGAGAGGTGATGATTTAGCCTGATACAAAGAAGAAATGCTATTACTCAGCTCCGCAGGATTGAATGCTGAACTGCGTGGAACGTAGTTTTGATTCCCATGCCAGGTTTAATAGAAGTGATACAACAAACCTCAATGGAAGTAGGTTGCCCAAATGGGCTCCCGGATTCCTCTTTCTGGCCTAAGTGGAGTTTTGGAAATCATGCTGTTGGGGACGGCCGTAAGGATCTTAGCCTGTTTATTGCAATACAGGCAGTCCTCAACTTGCAATCTCAATTGAACCCAGCATTCTCCCCCCACCCACGATCTCTTTTTATACATTTTATTAGATTATAGAATAAAATACAAAATACAGAGCAAATATTAGGACACAGT